CCCTTAAATGAGTATTATAATCTTCCTTGCCTCCCATGAACAAAGGAGGAAACTGAGGCTCTGCCAGGACTAGAGCCCAGGTGTCCCAGATGGACCCCCCAGCCAGGGATCCTCACCAAACCAGGCTGGTCCAACTGTCTGTCCGGAGCTCTCTGAGTTGGCTTGAGGAGGAGAAGACCTGTTCCCTGCCCTCTTGATACTCCCTCCTGGTTGGAAAGCTGGGTGTTGAATTTTATGTAAGATTATTTAAGCAAGAGTATTCCAGAAAGCCTGATGCTGGAGATTCAGATACTGGCACCAAGCCTGTGAGCATCACACTGGAGCTGGAGCATGAGTCCATCTTCTGCTCCTGTCTCTAGACCTAGGCTGGGCTCTTCAGGAGCTGGGTCTGGAAGCAGATCAGAAAGCAGGGTCCACCCCAGCCCAGGGCCTGGACCTGTGGGTGCGTCCAAGCTAAACCTCCACACAAGGGTTCATTGTGGTTGCTCAGCCTGGCTCTGGACTCTGCCAGCCCTTCCGGCTCCCGGAAAACGTTTCCCGTCTGGCGGCTCCCAGAGCAGCCTGTCCTTGGCCAAGATACTGACTGGCCCCACACACAGGCCTCTCCTACCCAGTGAGGAACTTGGAGTCCTGGCAGCTCAGAGCTCTTGGGTCCAGCCCTCATTTAACAGAGTCCCTTAGGCACAAGGGAGTAGGCACAAGCACACAAGAACCAGAATCAGGACCAGAACCCGGCACTCGGGCCATTGTCTCAGCTCTTGCTACCAACATGAGGCAGTAGGATTTAGACTTGGAGAAGTGAAGGGGCTGTACCATTACACAGTCCTTTGTGGCAGAGTCTGGAGGAAATGACTGATGCTTAGCTGGCTGCTTGCGCCCCTAGACCCCTCAGATCTGGGCTCTTTTGGTTCAGCTGTGCAGCCTCGTTGAAGGTCGCTATTCCTCTCTGCATTTGGGGAATGAAGGCTTTCCACTGCCAATTCATTCCTGACATCCTAAGCTTTTAAATCAGGAATGAGCGCATTGGTTGGGGTGAGGAGAAGCAGTTCTGGAATTTGGGGTTTTGACAACTCCGCCCCATCTCTGTGTGCCAGGCTGTACCAGAGCCAGAGGCTCGGGGCCTGGGGTTCCCAACCCTTACTTGGGCTGACAGCGCCATCTGGTGCCCAGTTGATGTGACATGTGTCACACTAGAGATGCCACCACAAACCTTCACTCGCTGTGGGACCTCTGAGCCGCCCTATGCCATTGGCTGGGGATATAGAAGTGACTGTGACCCCAGATGTGAGGGGAGAAGACATCAAAAAGTGACCATTTAGGATGAGGAGGCTGTGACAGCAGAAAGTCTGGGGCAGAGGGGAGTCCCTGAGTACCACAGGGCCAAGAAAGAGAGGCATTGCCATCAATATGACTCTCATTGTCTCCTGGGCCAGGTCCTGTGCAGATCTGGGGACCCTCAAGGAATCAGTTATGATCTAGTAGAAAAAAGTAGGGTGGGGAAGGGAGCTCAGACCCAGGGACTTGGAGCTGGGTCTCAAAGAATGATAGTAATTCATCTTATGAGCAGTGGACATTCCAGGCTCAGGAAACAGCCTGTGCAAAGGCGTGGAAGAGGCAGCTTGTGTGTATAAGCTTGAAGTTGACAGGTGTGGAGAGGAGGGGGACAGCAGAGGAAGTGCCAGAATATGAGGTCTGAAAGGTCACAACCCTGGGTACCTGTGGCCAACAGACCTAGTCTGAATTTCCCTGCCCCACACCTACCTCCTGTCTTGACCTTCAATGTCTGGGCAGGTACAGAGCTCCTGCCTCAAACTCCAACCCCATTCCCTTTGGGTCTGGTTACCTAATGGAGTTCCTGATTTCTGAAAGCCTTCCCCTCTTCCCCCGGGGAAGCGGCTAGGTCAGGCTGCCCACAGGCTGATCTGAGGGGATAAAAACATATGACTTCCCTGGACTCCAAGAAGCCCAGGCCCACCTCTTAGATTGCAGAAGGATCTTTAAGTAGTTATTTAACTCTAGATTCAGGTTCCTCAGCTGATGGGGATAATAATGGTACCTGCCTCATGGGATGTGGTCAGGATTAAATGAGAAAATACGTAGAAAACCACTCATTTGCACCTTGCTGGCAAGGGTTGATGTCAGGAAAAGGGGCTCCTCCCCCTTGCCAATCCCCGTGGGCATATTCCTTCCAGGGGGAAGCTCGAGGGGTCCAGATCTTGGTCCCACGTGGGATGCCCAACCCCCAGGCTTCAGGCTTCCTTCTACCTTCCCTGAACCCAGAGAAGCTCTGTTGTGTATCCAGCAAATGATTGATTGTTCATGTTTTCTTCTGATTTTTCTTTCTTTTTTGAGACAGGGTCTCGCTTTGTCACCCAGACTGGAGTGCATTGGTGCAATCTCAGCTCACCACAACCTCCACTTCCCAGGCTCAAGTGATTCTCCTGCCCCAGCCTCCTGAGTAGCTAATTTTTGTATTTTTAGTAGAGACAGGGTTTCACCATGTTGGCCAGGCTGGTCTCGAACTCCTGACCTCAAATGATCCACCTCGGCCTCCCAAAGTGCTGGGATTACAGGTGTGAGCCACCACGCCTGGTCTCCCTGTGATTTTTTTTAAAAGAAAATGTTCAAATACAAAGGAAAAGAGTGTTTAACAAGTAAATGAGCACCCATATGCTCTTCTAGACTCAACAATTAATGTTTTGCCTTATTTGCTTAATTGCTGTGTCTTTTTTTTTTTTTTTT